TATATTTTATATATTTTTAAAATGTTAAAAAACTAAAAAATTTATAATTTAATATTAATTGGTGAGGAATGGTGATTCCCACGGGAATCCCCATTCCTCATGAGGAACGGGGACGGGAAGCAAAATTTTGCTCCCTGTCAAAAATCCCCACGGGGATCCCCGTTCCCGCCATTCGCAGAGACGGGGACGGGGAGGGACTCCCCGCCTCCGTGGGGCCCCGTTGACATCCCTAGTCTGATTATTTCCTAGACAAACGAATAGCAAAATTGGCTTAGCAAAGTAATAGAGAACACTTTGAGTTATGTTATTGTGGCAAGAGCTCACATGTAACAATAATTTGTATCAATGGGCATTTTGGATCATTGGAAAGAATTAAGAAATACTTTTTTTTAAAAAATAAAAAGAATATATATTTTTCATTTACTTTTCTGTTTTAGTTTGAAAGATTATGTGTTTCTATGTCACCTTTTGTAAATCTCAAAATTATTTTTTTTCTCAAATAATATTAAGGGTATATCCTTTGCATAAGTTTGGATATTAATCTCAATACTTTTTTATTTTTATTTTTATCTTGGTTGCATAATGAGAGACAATTATCTCTTATCCTTTACCCAACCTCACACGCATGATATACGATTTGAATTTAGGATCTCTTATTTCTAGTGAAAAAAAATGATCACTAACCTACTTAAATAGTTGGCAATACTAATCTCAATACTTAAATCTTAAATGTGATATATTAAGTAACACTTGTTTATTAATACTCCTGAGGTTTCTTCATTCATCTCTTAGTTTAGTAGATTTACAAAATATTTAGGTTTAGTAATTAATTATTAATTTTCTTAGAGATTTCTCAATTTTTTTTAATATCAACGAAAGAAAGAAAAAATTTATTAATAGAGAATAAAAAGAGTATTTCAAACCCATTCAAAACAAAAACATCAGGTCCACATCAATTCATAATTCCAACTAGTACAACTATGTAATACCTGGTAAGTCCTGCAAAATCATCCTGCAAAATCATTCTACCAAAAAAAGAAAAAACAAAAAAGTCCTGCCAAATTAAATCTGCTGCACCCTACATGCTTCCTTCGGCGACATAAGCCATAAGTCGCTCTTTAATTTGGGTAGATGTCAATTCTAATTTTATATTGAGGGAAATTAAAGGGAGGAGAGAGGGAAATAGAGGGAAATTGTTTTTTTTGTCATTCTCTATTATTTTTCTTCTTTATTTGGATAAATAATTAAATTAAATGAAAAAAATAAAAGAAAGTAAAATTTTTTCCTCCCTTTACCTTCAATTTTTTTGATAATCAAGTAAAAAAAAAATTTCTTCTCCCCTCCATTCCCTTCCAAACCAAACATATTATAAAAAATTTTTCAAACTTACCTTATTCTTATAAAATTTTTTTAAATATGTATTTTAAAAATGTAATAAATATATATTTTTATTTTAAATTTGTATTAAAAAAATAAGAATTCATTTTGAATTTACCAATCATTCCATTAAATTCTTCTACTTAACAATAATACTAAAATTAATGTTGATTTTTATATTTTTTATATATATTTATGATGAAAAAATA